TTTTTTGCACTAATAAAGTTGTGGAGTTGTAAAGCATTTTGTCTAGTGTCAATTATATCGTCAATTATATCGTCAGTTTTATCGTTATCGCAAATTTTGAAATGTATATCGTGATAAATATTTTTGGTCATATCGCCCTGCTCTAATGCCAGTACACCAATATGGTGAACCACGTATCCAGCATTAGCATTTTTAGCACTGTCAAGATTAATGTGCTAGCATGCTGCCGTTTTTTGCTAATTAGCCTAAAGTGCAAGCTAGGCTAGCTACGGACAACCTTAAAAACGTTGCTAAGATAACAAACGTCTTTGTCTGGATAAATACTGGGAAATTATTTTTTTAACCACTGTCAGTATTAATCTATGATTATTATCAGAAGAAAATGTCATATACTATAAATCAGCAGTAAGTGCATGTTCAATAAATACACATGATTACTCAGAAACTTGAGAAACAATGTTAAAAAAAACAAACGAAAAACAGTTCTCATTCTCTGAAAAAAAAAAAGCCACAAACTCAAACGAAATCTCACTCTATGACTAAGTTTTGTAGCATTTGCATATACTGAAGTGTTTATGTAATAGTAGTTCTTGTGTCTTTCTGTATAAAGCTCACCATCTGGCACATAAGTCAAACAATTACTGGCAAGAAGTACTTAAAGCCCAGCCATGGGTACACTCATAGCCCTGCGAAAATCCAACGTTTAAATACTGTTGTGTAAGTAAATACTTTTGTTTTGCTTTGATTCGAGCCGTATTTGACCAGTGCAGAAGCAGCAGCAACGATAGAGGACAGAGCCCCTCCCTCCCTCCACATCACATAATCCACTTAACCAAGCTAACAGTTCCTCTCCTCTATTTCTGTGTTTCTGCACCTCTCCCCCCTTTCTCTCGGTCTCTCTCTCACTCTCTCTTTCTCGGAGCAATGCCATGATCTTCCCTCTTTACCTGCTGTGACGTTGTAATGAAACCAGCCAGCACCAATCTGGCACTGGTAGAGGCACACATGTCCGTGTGGTGCTGCAGTTTTTAGGTTTACCGAATGGCAACAACAAGAACCCCCGCCCCCCCCAAAAAAACATGATTATAACCGTCCAGTGTGATGAGCACAGCTTTCCAAAATGTTCATGTGTGACAGAACTGTTACATAACCCAAGTAGTTGTTTGTCTCTTTGCAAGCGCCTGAAACACTGTGTTACTAATGCATACAAAATGCTCGAGGTTTTGCATTTTCATGACGAGGGGGGATCATACATTTATGCAAATTGAGGCAACTGACTTTGTGTTAAATAATTGCTTTCTTTTCACTTGCTCTTCACAGTCAGTAAATATGGTTTCCAGGTTTGGTTAGAACACAGAGATGTAAAAGTGAAGGGCTTAGTCAGCACAGGATACAGATTGGGCCCACAGCATGACAAGGAAAGCTCAATGGCTCTGAGCCATAAATGTATAGTGGTGGAACCAAGGCCTCTTTGGTAGTCTCTCCTCTCAATATTGCCATATGATGGTTTTTACAAATTATGCGGCATAATCAGGTAGCAATGACTTTTTGCGGTATCTTTAAAACAAGCCCTTGCCAAGCACAGGATTCGGTGATTCTGTTTAAAGTATGGTACTTATATCTTTAAAATAATACTGTATCAAAAGTTTGAACAGATCTGAGAATTGCTTTACTTATTTATCATACAGAAATATTGTTAAAAAAGGATTAATCTTTGTGTATGTTTAGCGCCACATTCTTTCTAGCATCTGTGAGGGAGCTCTGGTATGCTCATTCACAATTTCACATTTGTATTATTGGACTATACTAGTGTAGCTTTGCTGTTTCACAGTTCAAAATAATCCTTGTTGATCTCATAGTGGTCTGTGGTGAAGCACTTCAGTTTATCCTCTGCCTGAAGCAAGCTGTTTTATTTCCCCTTCCTCTCCATTAAGCTAGCTTTCTCCTGATTGGTTCAAACATAAGAACAGTGGGTGCGTTGGGCACCTGTGCTTACAGCCAGAGCTGTGTGCCTGAGATGACCATAACGTCTCTCACTGATATCAGCCATGAGCAGAAGAAACCAGTGCAAACTGAAAGCCTAGAAAAGTCTGAAGCCCAAGTTCCATGTTTAACATGAACGCCCACCAGTGTAATAGGAGTAAGGAGAACAAAGACGCCTTTTTAAAATGCAGCACATTTTATGTTTGCTTGAAGTCTGTATTCCAGATTGAAGATCAAGCAACAGTCACATAAAAGCAATGACTGCAAAAATAAGTTGCTTTAAAGCAGCTCCCTAATTTTGGAACTGCTAAGCAACTGTGTAAAAGGCATCTTTCACTAAGCAATTTAGATTTGTAGATTTCAAAATCATGACAAAGTCTTCCCCTGTTAACACATAATGGAACTGAACTCTAAAGTCTTATAATTTCTGAAATTATACCTGAAATTATAGCAGGTCTGTAAACTGGAACAAAGCCACGACCCTGCGTATAAGTGGTTAGTAGTATTTTTCTCAGTTAAATCGAACACACTAAAGAACAGAACCTTAAAAAAACTATAGTAAATACTCTGTATAATCTGGACTGTGCCATTTTACACTGAATACCAGGAGACATTTCAAAGCAGCCAAGCCTCTAATTTTAAGCCTTACCAGTCCCCAAATACATCATATAAAACAAATCACCAGTGGTCCAGTTCTTACAAAAGAGCGAACTATACATAGAAGCTAAAACTGCATTTTTCTCCAGTTTTAGACACTTTCACTTTAGCTTGATTTCTTTAGCCTCCAGAAGTTGCCATTTGATGCCGTTACAGCCGTTTAGATGATCTACCACTAAAATGCTCCTCCTTTGTTCTTGGA